AGTTGACCACCAGGCCAAAAGCAGTCTTATTGGCACCTCAATTCATATAAACGCGCATGAACAAGTACACATGGGGCCTAAAGAGATGGTTCAGCAGCTAAGAGCTCACAACTGTTCTTGCAGAGGGCCTGAATTCAGAGCCCACAACTGTTCTTGCCGAGGGCCTGAGTTCAAAGCCAGCAGACAACTTCCTTTCTATCCAAATGCAGGGAATCTGGTGCCCACTTCTGGCGTTCTTGAGCACCCACGCTCATGTGCACTTATACACACACACACACACACACACACACACACTTACACAATGAAAGAAAACAAGCATACATGTTTTAAGCTCCAAACACTTAAAAAGTGGCTTTCCCAGTAAAAACTGCAGGCCCTGTGTGGAGTGCGTTCAGATCAAAATTTCAGGAGCTACCTAGACATTCCAAACTGGGGAAAATCTGACCCAAATATGAAATGTCCACATGATGCAGTGTTCTAAAGTCACTCGGTGTAATTTATTTTGATGAGTTTTTACTTATTTTAAAAAATAGAAATTTTAGTTAAAGTTAAACTAATAAGCTAGTGGTGCCTCATGACTTTCAACCCATCCATTGGAAGGCAGAGGCAAGGGGATCTCTATGAGTTCGAGGCCAACCTCATTCACAGAGCAAGTTCCAGGACAGAAAGGTCTGCACAGACAAACGCTGTCTTTAAAAACAAAACGAAATAAATGTTAAAATTAATTTAATGTTTAGGATGCAGATTGCTGTATAGATTATGCCATATCCAGTTGTCCTTAGGCATTATAAAGACTGGAATGGAGAAGTAAGAGTATTCAGATAATGTTATATTTTATGTTTTTATAATTTTAATATTGTGAATATGCTACTTTTATATTGAAGGAAAAAGATGTGACTCAAAGGTTTCAAATTTAATCATTAGCAGTTTTCTTTTGGGTGAATAGCATTCCAACAAGAATTCTGTTTTGTTTTTAAGAGAGTGTTTTGAGCCTCTTTTAATTGGTTTGCTTTTGTTATCTTGTGATTTGCTAACCCTGGTGAGATGCTTTTTATAGACTGAAGTGAAACATATGTCCTGCCCCTGACCGAGACACTGTTTTAGGAGCATGTCAGTTTTCAATTTTTCAAATCTTTGATGGATGTTTGTTCACGTTGAGAGGATTTGGCCATGCCCAAGTCTCTTAACCTTCACCTTTGTGGTATGGATAATGTGAAGATTTAGAGATGATTGGTTCAAATATAGAAAAACTGTCAGAAATAATTATTTAATGTCAATACAGAACCCAAAATATGCCTGATTGTTGATTATTGTAAGGGCCTGTTGCTCAAACTTCCTCTCAAATTTCAGAGTACAGAGTGCTAACCATTACACCCTGGAACCACACCCAAATTTCAAATCAGGACCTCTAGTTATATGAAATTGGCTTCCAGAAAAAGATCAGACACAGCAGTCCCTGCCATTTCCAAAACTAACAAGTATTATCATCAGACAATGTGCCAATATGTCAATCTCTCCCTCCAACACACACACACACACAAACACACTGTTGTGTAACAGCTTCTTCCAGGAGATTGAAACATTCCATTCTACAGAAAGTTACTTAAACAGGAAGGTAAATAACTCAAAAAAGCTTCAGGAAATCCCTGAAACTGGCCAGATTCACTAGGGCCCTCCTACTGTGGTAAGCACTAAAAGCCCACAGTTCCTATAAGGTGCTGCCGAGAAGACTCTAAGACCGATCAGATGCCTGGAAGAGTAGAAACCAGCTGAACTGCCTGGAAGAGGTTTAGACCAGAGTCACTTAGAGAGGACACTCTCCAACCTTTTGAGCTACCTTCAGGCTGTGCAGTGTGCTCCAAGTTTCCCAGCTTTTGTGAGCTGCCACCCATGCTGGGGTGGTGGTGCAACTGCTTTAGTCATTTCTACTCCTGTAATTAATCCCTCAGCCACATTCCTGTAATTAACCCCAATAAAACTCATTGGTTCACATCAAGTTGGACTTTGATGGTATTCCTATTTTGGTCTGTCATGGGGATACCTATCTGGACTGAGTAGATGTGGGTGTATGTGTGTGTCTCTCTGTGTAGTATCTCCCTAGCAAAATTTTTGTCACACACACACACACACACACACACACACACACACACACACACACACAAAGAGCTTGTGCCAGTTTTTAGAAGTACTCACAGCAGAATATTTTCAATCCTCACCTTGAGAGCCCTAATCTAACTAAAAGCTAAAACAGAGTTCTGCAGTCTTCTCTGGGTGCTTGGTTTGTTTACTGTGTAAAACTCAGGTGGATGAGGCTGTTTTTCCTCCTTTCACCTCACCAGCTGTGCAGCAGAGTGAAAAATGAAGACCGTGACGCTCCGACATTCACACAGTGAGCCTGGTACTCTCGAAATCCAGTGTGAAAGCATGGAAGTACAAATAAAGAATCTGTTTCCTAGCAGGAGTGACATGTTGAGTGAGGTTTGAAATACATGCAACATGGTATTTGATAAACTGGAAATATGATGATATTCAGATTACTATCTCACAGAGAAAGCCTACGAACCATGATTAGGATGTTAAGGTATGTACTAAAAAGCAAAGATAGAGAACCCAGCAATGGTGGTACTCACCTCTAATCTCAGCACTCAGGAGGCAGAGGTAGGTGGCTCTCTCTGAGTTTAAAAGAGAGTTCCAGGACAGTCAGGGTTATACAGAGAAAACCTGTGTGGTAGTTCGAATGTAACTAGCCCCCATAATTTCATAGGGAATGGCACTATTAGGATGTATGGCTTTGTTGGAGTGGGCCTGGCCTTGTTGAAGAGTTTGTCACTGTGGAGTTGGGCTTTGAGGTTATCTATGCTCAGGATACTGCCCAGTGTCTCAGTCAAGTTCCTGATGCTTACAAGATGTAGGAGTCTCAACTACTTCTCCAACACCATGTCTGCCTACATGTTGCCATACTCTTGCTGTGTTGATAATGGAGTGAACCTCTGACACTGTAAGCAAGCCCTAATTAAATATTCTCCTTGTAAGAGTTGCTGTGGCCATGGTATCTTTTCACAGCAATAGAAAAACCTAATTAGGACAGAAAAAAAAAAAGGCAAGCAGAAAGCCCCTGAATATGTTAAGATACTGATAAGAAACTGTGAACAGAAAATCTTAAGGACTGGAAACTGATGTTCTTTTAAAACGTTATTATAGTCAAGGTTTATGCAAAATGTTTCATTCTTAAAAACAAAATCATCTCACATGGTTAGCAAACCAGGATAATAAGAGTAAATCTGTTAATATAGGTTCAAAATACCCCTCTGAAAACAAAGCAACAGAACTCATGATGTCATCATATTTATATCCACAGTAAAATTTTAAAATAAAAATACCACTTCATTTTATAATTGTGAAGGAAAAGAAATCTTATTAACAAGATTCTAAAATCCAAGGAGGAGAGGTGTGTCCAGCTCTGAAATGGCACTTCGCTTTCTAAAAACTTCTTTAAGCTCTTTGTAAGACTGGGGGATTTTCAATAAATTCAATTTTTTTTCTTTGCAATCATGAACATTCAGCAAGGACACACACAAATAGCCCCAACTTTAGCATGAGAATGAGTTTCTAGGTTGTGAATGAAGAAATTTTTTTAATGCTCTTGGCTTCAGTTTCTTTCAGCATAATTATGCCATTTGAAAAGATCTAAGGGCTTTCTTCCCTTGTTGGTTGGAAAACTTCAGGAGTACATGCTGGACTTGCTGGCTTCTCTACCTCCGAGACTGTGCTTTCCCCGCCCCCTCATACTCTGACTCAGAGACTATTTGAAGGGGACACCTGTTGTGAATGGATCCACAGGAAATACCTATGTGGCCTTCTCATAACCGGACCCTTTATCTGGTTGGCTGAAACATGATCATGATTTTAAAAAGTAAAATAAAATAAAATAACTGCGCTGCCCACAGACTGTTGCAACTTCCCTTTGACAACATTTACTGGAAGGCTGAGGGAATTAACTTTAGATTTACTTTCCTTCCATTGATCGGTGATACTGTAGTATAAGGGGGGAAATGTCGAAGAGCAAAAGGAATTTTAACTCTGAACGATTTGTATTAAATCACACATGCGTGGGTGAGATTTACATCCACCGGGTGGTTTGGCTTTTAAAATGGAATGCAGTCTCATAGCAGTAATGGCAATCATCATAGATTTCTATTTATAAAACTTCCTCTGGTCACTGAAATGGCTCAGCTGGCAAAGGCGCATGCTGCCAAGCCTTATGATCTGAGTTTGATAGTGGGAACCCACGTTGTGGAATGAGAATTCTCACACCAGCTGTTTACTCTGGCCTCTACACTTGTCCTATGGAACACACACACACACACAGAGACAGACAGACACAGACACACACAGACACACACACACACACACACACACACACACACGAGAGCGTGTGCACATAGTAAAAAGTTTTAAAAGAACTTGTTCAAAACTCATGCTTAATCTTCTGTTACATATTGATAAATTAACATAGCCTTGTGGAATATTTATAAGGGGTTTCACAGTCGTAAATGCTGATCAACTTTAAACCCTCAACTGAATCCTAATGGGT